GAATATGAAGTTATATAAGAAATGAAAATAAATAGTAAAATTAAGATATTGCGAATAGAATAATTAGATAGATAATTGAGATATTGTAAAGCCTATCAAGATGTACTGACAACGTATAATATAATAAAGAGTTAAAACAGAGAAAAGGAACGTAAGGAAGGAGGGAAGAAACAGAGAAGGCTGAAATAAGAAAAAGAAAAAAGAAAACGTACCTGTCTCCACCATTGTTAGACGGAGAAATAAAAATCGTAGCAAGGTTGGGGGGGGGGGAGAGAAGAGATGTATTGTGGCGTCATCTCTAACGGTTATCTGACGAAGTTTGAACTAAAGTACCGGATGCGTAAATAAGGACGAGAGATATATAACTCATTAATATTATGGAAAATTAAACGAAAGTTAATAGAAAGAGGATGGAAAATTCTGGAGAGGCAATAATACAAAGATAATAACTGTTGAGTAATAAGGGAGAATAATTGAAATAAATACATATATATATATATATATATATATATATATTATATATATATATATATATATATATATATATATATATATATATATATATATATATATATATATATATATATATATATATATGGATGTTTTAATAAATTCAGAATTTGGAAATAGGCTATGGATAAGTTCTGTGTGTGTGTATGTATATATATATATATATATTTATGATATGTATTTATTTCAATTATTCACCCATATTACTCAACAATTATTATCTTTGTTTTATTGCCTCTCCAGAATTTTCCATCCTCTTTCTTTTTTTTTTTTTCTTTTTTTTTCTTCCCTACCTCGCCTTTTAGGCTATAACGGATTTTCCCGGGCCGGAGGGTGAGGGCGGGGAATTTAAAATCCCCTCCGGCACCGGGACGCGAACTCGTACTTTTTAAATCATCTCAAATCTTGTTCTCCGGTTGCCAGGCAACTCGCGGTACTGTGCACACGCTTTAACCTATTCGACCACCCCGCCCCCTTCCATCCTCTTTCTGTTAACTTTCGTTTAATTTTCCATAATTCCACCTAAAGCATTTCATCCTTCAGAAATATCCAATATCATTCATAGATTACCTTCCCGCAAAGCTCCTGGCCATGAGCTAATCACATCCCAGATCCTAAAACTGCTTCCTAAACAAGCCATACTATTCCTCACCTATATATGTAACGCTGTACTTCGAACCACGTATTTCCCTGACCCTTGGAAACTATCCATTGTCAAAATGATACCTAAACCCACGAAGCCGCCAGAACACCCATCCTCTTACCATCCTATTTCTCTCTTACCCATTATGGGCAAAATCCTGGAAAAACTCATCTTAAAACGCCTGTATCCTATCCTAGACTCTAAACAAATTATCCCAGATCACCAATTTGGATTCCGCACATCCCACTCCACTATACAGCAATGCCATCGTGTGGTAGATGTAGTCTCCTCTGCATTGGAGAGCGGAATGTACTGCACGGGAGTACGACGTTGAAGAGGCGTTTGATAGAGTCTGGCATCCCGGACTGACGTACAAACCCCGTAAATTCCTACCACCTACATACTTCCTCATTATCCGTTCCCACCTTACTGACAGATTCTTCAAAGTCAATCATAACAATGCTTTTTCATCTCTTTTTTCTCAGTTTGCTGGTGTTCCTCAAGGTAGTATCCTAGGTCCTGTCCTTTATACAGTTTATACAGCTGACATCCCAACCCATTCCAACACTGTCATCACCACATATGCCGATGACACATGTATCCTATCAGTCAATAACGATCCATCTATTGCATCCCAAACTCTTCAATCACACATCACAAGTCTTGAAAAATGGTGTCAAAACTGGAGGATTAAAATAAACTCCAATAAATCCCATCAAATTACCTTTACTCTTCGTCGTAAACCTATGACTTCCTGTCCTACAGTATCCTTTAACAATACCCCACTTATCCCTGTTGACCAAATCCGATACCTAGGACTCCACCTTGACAAACGACTCACTTGGAACCCCCATACCAGACTGAAACGATTAGAAACCGCCCGACGTTTCCGACTACTCCAGCACTTACTAGACAAACGCTCTAAACTGCCAACTATTTACAAAAGACTCATATATATTACTATAATAAGGCCTATTTGGACTTACGGGATCGAGCTTTGGGGCTCTACTAAACCATCAAATTCCTCTCGTATCCAATCCCTACAATCCAAAATCCTTCGTAAAATCCTTAATACTCCCTACTTTGTCACAAATAAAATCATTCATAATGACCTTAATGTACCATATGTTTCCGATTTAGCTCAATCCAGATACCTGTCCTTTCATAATAAACTTCTGAACCATCCGAATCCTCTCGTTTCCAACCTTGCTTCCTCTTCTATTCCTGATAACCCTCCGAGGCGTCTAAAAAGAAGATGGCCTCAGGATCTTCTAATATAGAAATATAATTGGAGTGCTACCAATGGGTAGTTTCTCCTCATGTTGTACATGTCATATTACTTTTTCATATTTACTTGTTGTATTTATTATTAATTACAGTTGTAAATTTCGTTAATAAAAAAAAAAAAAAAATTTCCATAATATTTATGAGTGATATATCTCTCGTCCTTATTTACATTTCCGGTACTTTATTTCAAACTTCGTCAGATAACCGTTAGAGATGACGACACAATACATCTCTTCTCTTCCCCCTCCCTTGCTACGATTTTTACTTCACCGTTTAACACTGGTGGAGAAAGGTACGTTTTCTTTTTTCTCTCTCTTATTTCAGCCTTCTCAGTTTCTTCCCTCCTTCCTTTCATTCCTTTTCTCTGTTTTAATTCTTTATTATATTATACGTTGTCTATATATCTTAATTTTACTATTTATTTTCATTTCTTATATAACTTCATATTCCTTTTTTCTGTTTTACATTTTATTCTAAGATTCTCATTTTAATACTTATCTCACCTTTTTTGATTATTTTTACTTCACCATTCCACACTTTGTAACGGTTATTATTATTTATCTCTTAGTTCTTACTATTGTCATTATTCTAACAACTTCATTTTACTTTAATTTTTTTTTTACCTACACTGCTTATGTTCATCATACCTTGTTATCTGGTTCTTTTCTTAGCCCTGAATGAAGGCCTGAACTTCAGGTCGAAACGTCGGCAAATGTCAAAATGAATATTATCATTTATTTTTGCCTTCTTATTTGACTGATCACCCCAACTATTCTTCTCTTCATTATTCACGACGGTCAACCATTTACCCACAATTATAAAATATTTGTAGATTACGATGAGATGAAGCTATTTACGAAGTTTCAGCTGGATGTTAATAATTTCATAAAAAGGGGTCTGTACCACGGACTATGATACAAATTTTAGAAATAAAAGTAAACGTGATGACCATTTATCCTAAACGGCAAGAGGGCGGTTTTGTAGTCTGTTTATTATTGATTTGATTGAAAAATTCTTTGATTGATTAAAACCGACTATCACGGCGCTACAGCTCGGTGACGAGTCTTGGCTTCCTCCAGTCATTTCTGTTCTGTGCGGTCATCATCCAGCTCCTGATTCCCAGGACATCCCTTGAATCTCTTGTCACACCGTCTGACTATCTTAGTTTTGGTCTCCTTCTTCTTCTTGTGCCGTAGAAAGATTCTGTCGGGATCATCTTGGGGATTGCTTCATTCTCCATCCTTGCCACGTGGCAAGCCCATCTCAGTCTTGCAAGCTTAATCCACAGAACATCTTGACCATTAAAAATCGAGCAAATTTCGGCGTTTGTCTGCCTTCTCCGATTTCCATCGATCTGTACTCCCGCAGATTAAAGCAATTAAGCTGAGTTTAGGATCGACTTGCTGGATTCCAACAGAAGGTTAACACTCCTAGAAGATTACATAACATTAAAAAATTATATAAGGAAATACCTAGCTACTGAATTGTTTAATTTCAAAACATATATGAGAAGTAAACTGAATGTAAATATGTCAAGTCCATTGAAAAATACTACCACATAGATTATGTTGGGATTAAAGAGATACATCGATCCTGTCGAGGTATGTAAAGCAGAGGCAGTATATGCATGTTATCAGAAGGCCTCGACAGTGCGTGTTCAGTAATGATGGTAAGATGACTGACTGGATGGAGGAAGATGAATAGATGGATGGCACCGAGTGACAGGCAGATCAGCACCCAATTACTCTCGATCTGCGGTGTAAGATATTAAGCTTAACACTCCGTAAGGATGGTAACCACAACCGGAGGGATCCAACTCCGGAGTTGTGGGATGATGAGATACTGACGGAGGGATCAATCTCCAGACACAGTATATAGGACTGCAAACGGACGGATCAACGTCCTACTTACATGGAGATAGAGCCGAGGAAATTAGTATCAGGATGATGTTAAATAAGAAGATCAGCCTAAGGCTGTTAAATAAGAAGATAAGACTAAGATGAACCAATAGCATATATGATATATACCGCTACAATCCCAAAAAGAAAATGGAAAGTCCGTTTCATTTGTTGAGTTTAAGAACTTAGTATATTGCCTCATCGATGGCATCGTTTCGCCTAATTCAGAGGTGGGTTCGATGTCATCGATGGCCTCGACGCTGAATCTATAAATTTTCCCTGCTTCTGTCGGTGAATCAATCGATAAATAAAGGATCGTGCTGAATCCCATCGATGACCTCAGTGATAACTTGTCCATATTTTCATAACTTCAATTTGTAATGATGGAGTTCAGAGCTTGTAATAATTATTACAGAAAGGTTATTAAAAGTAGGCATCTTTATCGAAATAGATATAATTAATGATTGAAAAATGAAATGGTTAGTTACTAATATATAAAATATTTTAATTCCTATTTAAGTTCTGTATTTATATTTATCTTTGTTTTGACAACAGACCTTGAATGAAATTGCCAATAGAAAGTTGTGAATAGATTTTGAAATTCTTATTAGCTCTTTGGTATGTAGTTCATTTGAGCAGATTCTAACCTGAAATGAGAGTAGCGGTGTTATAACAGTAAACATCAAGTGGTACTGTTCTGTATCTTCATTTAAGATACTTATAAAATTAAATATTTTTACGCTTAAATAAATCTTTAGAAATGGCTGCTCCTCCTCCTCCTACAGTAAGATTAATTTTGATTTTAAGAGTCCCTAAAACAATTTTTTATTGACATTGTTTTATTCTATATCTGATTTTTACTACTAGGCTTGTGTTTTCTGAATTTTAGCCTTACAGGTTTTCCAGTGATGAAATGAGAGTACTTCAGGAGTGCAATAGAGAATCTTTTTATCAAAGATGTTTACCTCTTAGTACACTCTTTGGTGTTGGCACTTACCTGGGTGTAAATTCAGGTTGGTTTAATGGCCTTACTTTTCAATAATTATCTCATAATTATTGTTAAACTTAATTTTCATTGTCAGGTTATTTGAAGCCTAATCCCAGATTTGGTGCTGTGCCAAAAGTAATTGGTGCTGTTATTGCTGGCTATTTGGTGGGAAAAGTATCTTACCAAGGAAAATGTGCAGAAAAACTAATGGCCCTGCCTGACAGTAAAATTGGTGCCTTACTCAGAAACCGCCGTTATGGCGGTTCTTCCCAGAATTCGTTAGTATTTATTTATCTTTAGACACTGAGATAAAAAAAAATTATTCATTCCTAATTGTTTTCTATCAACATTAAATTAATCCTTCTTAGTCACTTAAATAACTAAGGTCTGATAGTAAAAAGTAAGAAATATAATGCCAACTAAAAAAAAAAAGGGCAAATTTAGAAAAAAAAAAGCTTTTACTAAATTTATATTTTATGCCAGTAAGCAGGGGAGAAATAAGGTTTTGGATTAGACATCCTTCAATCAATGGTCAAAACATTTTTATTTGATGTCAAATATGAATATCCTAAGTTTTCCATCCACTAGAGCTAACTCTAGTGACGAGGTCTTATGGAGTTTCTCAAAATATTTACATTTATGTTATAAAAATAACGCGGCATTCTTATCTAATACCATTTTTAGATATTCCATGATGTATATTTTCTCTATCTCAATAATCTTTGATTTTCCAAGCTATTGGGAGGTTATGCATAATTTCATTGACCTTGATCAATCATTCCATTGATAGGATTGAATGTGCACTGGTCGATGCAATATATAACATAGTCCAGTTAAATTAGCAAAAAAAAAAGGTGTCTAGGTTGCTAAAGGTTGGGAAATTCAAATTTCTTTTTTATATTGTTAGGAATGACGTGAATAAAAAAGATCGATGTTTCCACACTTGAATGAAAGCCTCCAGTATACAAAAACCATTTAATTTTTGAACTTTTTTTGGTATAAGCTAGGTATATAGATAAAAAATTGTTTTATTCAATCTTTAACAGCTTAAAATTATTTAATATTTTTTTATATCAGGTTTTTTTTTTTTTTTAAACCCAACAAGAAGCGACTTATCGAGCTTTCAAAATGGATAAAGTTTTGAAAATTCGCAAACAACAAACATTTTTTGTTTTTAACTAATCATCTGTTTTTATTCGTGACGTAGCTCAAATTTTTAAATTAAATATTAAAGCACACAAAATTTACTACAGCATTTATTGGAAACATATATTTGACTAAACTTAGCAATTTAAATACAAATAAAAAAAAAAGACATGTTTTGAAATTCGAAAAAATTCTTATAATTTTATTTGTATTGTTTTTTACTTATTTTATTAAAATTGGCCATCAAGAATTACTGCTTTTCTGTTACTTTTAAACAAACTTTATTCCATCACATTTTTACAAATAAATATTATTCAAATTATATACCATTGTGTTGTTTTGGATGTTTACTATCTCAAGACTTCAATTTCTTCACAATAGTTCTCTTTCAGTTTTGAACAAATTATGCAACTCCATTTTGAATTTCATTCTGAGAATTTGAAGGTGTTTCTTAATGATAATGAGCCATTGACTGGAATAGGTGGTAGTCTGGAGGTGTTCCAAGAAGTATGTAGGCAAGGTGTATGAGAATCAATCCAGTCCAGTTTTGAGTTTAATTTCTTTGTCAGTTTAATGTCTGTTCGATGCTCATATTTGACCTTTTGTCTGTAAAGAGCTTTTCAGAGCATGGACAGCAAAATTTTCTTCATATGTGAACCTTTCACATCCAACACGGTTCATGTTCTCTTCAAGGTTTAGCTTATCTTATAATCACAGTTGTGCACTTCATATTAAAGGAACAATCAAATGCATGGAAAAATTGTGCTATTTCTGCTACTGTAATTACGAACAAGTACCATTCACACTAATGGTCTACTCCTATAAATAATTGAGTCATAATTTAGAAATACTGGACTCATAGGAGTGATTGATGGAATTGTGGATGAAAGTGGACTATAATTAGGCTGAAAACAATGTAGACAAAGTTAATTCTAGAGCGCCTATTCTAGAGGTTTCAAAACTATATGGCTATGTGTTTTGGAATAAAAGCAACTCAATCAGCAGAAACGAAATTATTTAAAAAGTACATTTAATGAAAGTGAAAAGCCATCTCTTTTCAAAGCAGTGGGAGGTGAGAAGTTAAATCTATTTATCACCAAATTTAGAAGTCCATTGCAAAAATCTGATAAAAATTTACCCACTGCCAAACTATGGGTCCAGTATTTATAAATTAAGACCCACATTATTTATAGAAGCAGCAGTCCTCACTGTGCAGAATTCCTCTGTTCAAAACTGAAAGAGGATTATTGTGAAGAAATTGAAGTGTTATAAGATGGTAACAATCCGTAACAACACAAAGATATTTCAATAAAATTAATTTTTTAAAAATGTGTTGGAAGAAAGTTCATTTAAAAATAACGATAAAACAATAATTGTTGACCAATTTCATTAAAATAAGTGGGAAACATTAAAATAGAATTATAAGGATTTTTTAGAATCTCTAAACATTAATTTGCTTTTAGCTATTTATTTTAAGTTGCTAAGTTTAGAAAATATGTTTCCTATCAAAGCTGTAGTAAATTGTGTGTGTGTTTTAATATTTAATTTAAAAATCTGAGCTACATCGGGTGTAAAAACAGATGATTAGCTAAAAACAAAAATCATGTATATTTTTTTGCGAATTTTCAAAAGTTTAGCTTTGAAAGCTTGATAGTACTCTTCCTGTTGGGTTTAGAAAAAAATGTTAAATAATTTTAAGCTGTTAAAGGTTGAATAAAACCATTTTTTATCTATGAAGCTTTAAAAAGGAGATATTTAGTGTAAACCAAAAAAATTTCAAAATTGAAGCACTGCAGCGAACGCACAAGACTTTCAAGGGCGGAAACTTGGATTTTTTATATTCACTATATACTGAACAATACAAAAAAAATTTATATACTCCACCTTTTGCAAAGTAACATGTCTAATTTGACTAGGATATTAGTGGGAAACATTCTTTTTATTAGGAAGAGATGGCCGAAACTTTTAAGGTGGATACTTTTTTTTGCCTCTCAGTGTGTATTTTTTCTATTATGTGAAGTTAATATTTTAGATCTGAGACCTGAGGTATCAAAAATAATAATTGTCTAATTTTAATATTTATGTTATTAAAACTATTTATGTTATTTATTCACATTAATCACAATTAATCTGATTAGTTTTGTTTAGATTAACACTGGAAGATCATGACCTTGAAAAAGTTTTAACCAATATCCCTGAGTCAGAGAAGCTTTCAGATATATCAAATAAAGGCCTCATGGATTTAGATACTGATAGACCTCTCTCATCTGGGTTTGATGATTTCAGACCTAATTTAGATGGTATGAACTTTTAGTTAAACTATATTAGTAATATAAAATAGGTATTTTATGTAATATTATTTACATATTTTAAGCTTTCTTTAAGTTCAAATTCGGCTCTGGCAAAAAGTTTTCTTCTTGGTTTCGTTTATAACTGTTTTCTATTCTGATCGATAACAAAATTTTGCAACCTACTGATTTTTGCTAATTTTTGATTTGTAAAGACAATTTGACCAATTACCAATTCTGTGGCTCTACAGCCCTTCTAGGGCCTAATCATCTTCAACAAAGCCTCTCCAATACTCTCTCTCTCTCAGCTGCCCAGTTTCTCCATTGTCCTATTCTCATTCTCGTAAGGTTCTCCTCTACAACATCGATCCATTGAAGTTTGGATTGAAGCCCTATCTCCTTGTTTTGTCATATAATAGTTTTTTCATGTATCTGTCTTCTCCCATCCTTTCTATATACCCAAGCCATCTTATATATAGCCATCTTATATCTAGATTTGTCATAAATAACTATGTCTGGTTCATTATATAGTTCCCAAAGTTCTATATTATTTCTTATCTTCCATTGTCCACTTATAAATACTGGCCCAAAGATCTGTCCTAGGACCTTCCTTTCCCAGATGTGGAGAACCCTCTCACATTTCTGTTTCAGGATCCACATTTCACTTGTGTTTTCTGCAATGCAAAAAGACATTGGTTGCCTGCTGCGATTCTAGCTTTTATTTCTGGTGTGATGTCAATTTTTCAATCATTAAAGCACATAGGTGTTAGAAGTTGTCAACTTTCTAATCAAACTAAATGTTTGATGAAGCAGTTTCAGTTGATTCTTTTCTTGTCTCTCATTTTTTCTGGAAATCCTATATCGGGTTTTCTCCTTATTTGTCTTCTGACCCAAATTTTTTAAATGATAATATGACAACCTTTAATCGCTAATGTTTAAGAAGACAAATTTTTGGTAGAAAAACTTCAAGTGAGAAAAGGGTTGGAGATTATGAGGCTTTGTATTTATACCGTAAAAGTTAGCATAAAGACTTTGCCTATTATATAATATTATTCTGTAAAATATTTATGGTATAATCATACTATAACATGATTTATGAAATAGATCTTTCTATAAATTTAATATTTTAATATGAGTATGTATTTTATCTATGGACATTAAAGCTGATTGATCTGACACAAGATTGTTTTATATGTAGATGTTCAAATGGAAGATAGTATTCCCTCTCCTGACCGAATGAGAAGTACTAGTTATGATGAATTAAGAAGGAGAAACCGGGAGGAATATGAACAAAAGAGGACCAAGCCTTATAGGTAATAACTAACATTTTTATAAAATAGGTATTTTTTTTCTTTCAGTATCTACTGCATGCAGATAATCATGATGGGATGCAGTTACACTGCAACTATCTTCTTTTGAATCGTGGGTGGGGGAATGCTGCAATAGCCACCTTCTGAGAAAGAACAATGTTGATTGAAAAGAATTCACCAAAATGTTGCTGAACACTTGCTTGCAAAGCAGTAACTATCGGTACGCAATGTATAAAGTCACATTGAGAAATTATAAATAGGTTTATAATCAAAAACTGTTTATTTTTGAGAAAAATTATAAATAGGTAATAAAATTCCAAAGAACATATTGTTTTTGGCTAGCAAAATATCAATCAACTCGTCGGCGAATGGTTTTGTACACTTAAGGTGTTCGATAATGTGGAATTCCTCTTCGTTAAGAGGATGTTTTAAATTCATAGCTTTCAATAATTGGGAGTTTTTTTCTGTAATGTCAGCCAATTGTTTCATATTGTAGTACCAATAATTTTTATCTAGTTTTAATAGGGTTGTAAAGATAATAACCCAATAAATCAAGAAAATTTTAGCTATTTTTACTTTCACTTACCTATATATGTAACATATAGTAAGTGCAAGTATTGGGTTCGTAAAAATTGTTGAATCTGAGTTTTCAATGGAAATCGTGAGTTCCATGACTCCAAACAACTAAGTCCCGAAAAATGGTCTGTGTGTCAGTATAATATATTGTTGGAAAGCGGAGAATTTTAGAAAAAACAATATCTAATACAAAAGTTGTAGAAGCGAACAAAGAGTGGCGAAAAAAATATAAATAATAACATGTTTTCAAGGAAATTAAATGAAATTTTCTTACTAAATGTAAACTTTTAAAAAATTTTTAAAGTTTGAAAAAATATTTAAAACCCATGGATTCAAGGAAATGACAATATTTAAGATTCTATTCCATTGTACTTGTGTGAATGAAGACGTGAAATATAAAAATATTTCATGGATACATTTATAAACTTAAATATATTTACTGTAATTTAATAACTCTAGATCTGACAATGCAATTCAAAAATTTTATAATAGCCCAACATGGCCAGAAAATAATTTCTATTCAAAGTTGAGCGGTAAGTGAAAGTTGTGTGTTGCGTGCACCAGATTTTTGGTCCTACAGCTGATTTCCATAGTATATTACATTTGTTTTTTGTATGATATCATGAATAATTGACAGCTTTTCAGAAGATTTGATGGCCTTGGTTCCATCTTGTGAAACACACAAATTTTAAGTATGACTACATCTTATGTGACATGATAACAATCTTGATGAATAACAATTATAATGAACGAGTTCTTGTCTTGACTTTTAAAAGATAGCCCTGAGGATGACCCTCATGTTTGGGTCGAAACGCCAGCTTACCTAATAATAAACATATCTTGACTGGAAGTCCTGAAAATTTTGTTTCATTCATATAATTATAATACCCTTCTTTTATATTTCTTTGTTTAAATCAACTTTTCCTTTGTTAAATATATTTTTGATTAGTATAAAATGTTTTTACCTGGCTTCCAAAGCATATATATATATATATATATATATACATACATACATACATACATACATACATACATACATACATACATACATATATATATATATATATATATATATATTTGGGCTGGGGTAGCCGTATGGGCTAAGGCGTTTGCAATAGATAATCAAAGTTAAGCAACGTCGAGAGTGGTTAGTACTTGGATGGGTGACTGTCCGATTTGGGTAACCATCCACCAAGGAAAGCCATGCTGCCCGAGTCTCTTCCCCCCCCCCCGGATAGGTGAGGCCTGTCAGCCTACTGGAGACAACTCACACCGACCGGGTGTCGGACTGATGACCCTACCCCGTCTACTTAAATCGGGAATCGGGTTTACCAGGATGTTAATAGCTCCTTGATGTTGGGTCCATCGACGGTCTGTTTCGGGGAAAGAAATATAGGTCCTCGTGCCCCAGGCTGACTCCGAGCAGCCATAGTCCATGGATCTAGACCTATTTGCCACTGTTCTTGAACCCGAGAGAGGGTGGGAAGGATATTGCCAGATTGGCCCCAAAGGGATTAGCTATGGAACTACGGATGGCCTGCCGCTGCACCATGGAAACGATGGTTCGTAGCAACGTGAGGTTGGGTGACCCCCTCCAGGCTATCTGAGCTCCCGCAAGTGTCACACGTCTGTAAGGAGACCACATCTCGCGGCCAAAGATCTTCATGGTCTGTAGTGCCAACCGAAAAAAAAATATATTTAGATATATATCATAAAAATAATTACTCATGGTGATAAAATGAGTGATGAGTGATTTATCCATGGCTAAACAATTGAGAGAAATCACTCATCACTCATTACTTTGAGAGTAAAGAGTAATTTAATTTATTTCCCTGCACTGTTGTAGATATATAATGAATTACATATAAAACAATGATAATCTATAATTTACATATATATTATTATTATTTTTTTTTTACAGAGGTGTGGTTACTCCAGAAGAAGTGCCGACTGTCCTTAACCCTTCAGATATGTCGCCAATCGATACATCATCAAATCCTTCCAACATTTATGGGGATAGGTGGGAAAAGTAGGGTTTTAAAAAATGGAAATTTTAATAAATGTGTAAAAAAATAATGTAATGTTTATGTAGAATAGTTATTATATTTGGTCATTGTTGTCAAAAATGGATAATACAGTTGTTATTTAATTTTTAGATCTTTTCCCATTTCAACCTTTCTTTAAGTTCAATCTTTGCCATTTCAATAGAATCACATCGATATGTTTTAAGCTTACATGCTTAAAATTTTACCTAAGGTTACGTAGGCTAAGTTTACCTTAGCCTACATGCATTGCCAAGTCCATCTTAACTTTCATTTATTCTAAAAACCTTTTATTTATTTCTCATTTATATGTTTAGGTAGGATTCTATGGTAACCATAAGGTCATTTCTTTTTGATTTCTCATTCCCTTTTTTTTTCTCACTATTTTGTCAGAATCCAAGTCTTCATCAAAAGAGAAATACCAAGATGAAAAAAAAAAAAGATGGTGTAGAAGAGTATCAGTTTTTGAGCCAAGCTTGTTTCCGTTTGTTGCTTTCCATATTAAACCATTGTTAGACCATATCAATTTATCTATCAGAACTGTATCAATATACTATTATGTATTATAATACTTCTGCAAACACATCTGTCACTCAACAAACACTCTATGCCAAACTTTAAAAAGCTGGACAGATCATCCAAATAATACTGCCCATCAAGGGCAGCCATATTAGTAAAATATACCTTAAGACATTATCCCTTACACATAGACTTGGCAGCTCATATTCTAATGACAGGTATTCACTTTACGTACCAAATATAAAAAAATAACACTAACTTCCATTTATTGTCCACCTAAGTATCCTATTACTGAACGAATATTTGCTAATCTGTTTGAATCATTTGGAAGAAAACTTCTGGCAGGAGGAGATTAGTATGCCAAGCACACACACCGGCTCACACCTGTGTGCAACTAATTAATTGCTTATTGCAATTGTGCAGATTAAAATTAAACAGTATACAGATACAAGTAATTTTACATGTTAGCGGAAGTTTGAATGTGGAGTAGGTGGTGGAACTGGAGTTGTTTGAAGGAATTTGTGGACGAGGATTCATGTATGGAGGTAGGAAGAGAGTTCCAAAAGGAGGTAGCACGAAAATGACAAAGGATTTGCTGAAAGCAGTAGTTTTATGGGGAGGGATGTATAAATCTATAGGTTGAGACCTAGTATTAAGAGAATAGATAGAGGAGCTTAGAGTAAGGAGTTCCAGTATAGGGAGTAGGGAGTAGTAGAGTAGGGAGGGTATTTGGTTCTGAGGACTTGGAAAAGAAAAACACCAAGGAGGAATTGTCGTCAGGAATTGGATAATGCCACTTCAACTTGGTGTACCAGAATGCAACATCCCCAGGCAAACACCTGGGGATCCCAAAGATGTATCTTATGAAACAGTAAATGAGTTTCTTTAGTCTCATTTCTAGCATGGCAGATAGCTCTCCATACACCAAACAGCCGTAGTTGAAGTGGGGGATATAAGGGAGGTTACAAGGAGCTGTCTGGTTTATAGAGGAATACAATCATGGAATCTTTGTAGTTGTTTAAGGACAGTTATGGATTTTTATGTAATCTGGGAGAAATGGTTATTCCTGGAGAGGTTCTCGTCAAAGGTTACTCCTAGATTTTTGACTGTAGGGAAAAAATGGATGGGACACTTATTGAGGTAAAGTAAAGTAAGGAAGGGATCTAATGAGATGTCTGGACCCGATGAGAATTAACTTAGTTTTATCTGCATTTAGCTTTAATTTATTTATTTCTGCCCATCTGTTGATGCAGTCATTATCCTCTTTTAGCTTTTGGGCAGCCTCAGGCATCTCAGAAGGTTGGAATGATTTGGAAATCTTCGGCATATAGGTGGTAACTGGAGTGTTGAATGGCGCCAGGAAGGTCACTAATATAAATAGAGAAAAGGGTCGGGGAGAGTGAAGAACACCTCGTGTTAATTAAAGGGGTGATGATGGATGTTCTTTTTTAATCCCAACTGTCTGAGATCGATTGAATAAGAAGGAGAGGAACCATTTTAGGACGTTATTTGATAAGGCCAGGCTTTGGAGTTTGGAAAGAAGGATCTCATGATTGACAGAATCAAACGCTTTGGAAAAGGATTAGGATGGAGATTTTCTGTTTATCTATGGTGGATTGGAGGTCTTGGGTAATCCTTAGGATGGCAGACTGGGTATTATTGGCAACAGGAACCAGATTGTAAAGGATTGAGGAGATGGTTTTGTTCAAGAAAGCTTTTCAACTGAGTGGATTAATTTTTCTAGAGTCTTGGATAGATTGGATGAAATGGAGATGGGTCTGAAGTTGGAAGCTGATGAAGGTAAGAACTTTGTTCAGTGGGCGGACTATGGCTCTTTACCAGGATTTGGGAAAAATGAAATTTTGGAGAGAGAAATTATATATGTGTAAAAGTGCGGGAAGGAAGGTTGAAAGGCAGAGTTTGATAACTTTAACATGCATTTGGTCTGGACCATAATCGTTCGTTTTGATTTAAGGGTGGCAGAGAGTACGTCAGCAGGAGAGATATCAAGAAAATAAAATTTATCAGGATTGAAGAGGGTTTCGATGATGGAAAAAGATGAGCAGTCATAAGAAAATATGGATGGAAAATGATTAGTGAATGGTTTAGCTTGTTCGAATCGACTGAATCTACTGTTCATCAGCTATTATATAATTTTGCTTCCAACAAAACGATTTTTCTAATTCTCAATTTAAAAAGCTAGACCTATTAAACATATTTGTTGTCTAAGATTTGAGGCTAGACGTAGGGACTCTTTCACCAAGTCTATAGACAGCTATCAGCCACTGGCCCACCAGGTTGGTGGAACAATTACCCTGTTGCCCATAGAATACACTACACATAGCACATTATAAACATTTCACATTTACAAAGGTCAAATACAGTACACACCTTAGGGTCACCTCCCCTACATTGTCATCCCAGAGGGGGAAAAACTTCAGAATGCTCTGAGAAGGCAGTCCCTCTACCTGATTCGGGAGTAGAGTTTGAGGTAAAAATCCCCTCCCCATCAATTTTAAATATTCAGAAGAAGAAAACAAGCAATGGATGAAAAGAATTCTACCAGCATATGATAATACAAAAAAGAAGCAAACTAATACCGGTAAAAGTTATGCATAAAGCATAGAGTGGGAAAACAAACTGTAAAAGAAGAAGAGGAAATGGGAACCAGATCAATTAGAAGGAATAGAGCACCTTAAAAATCTCAATAAGAAAGTTTTATCAGCGTGTTAATACCAACAGGAAGCCATTTATGCCAGGAAGAGCTGGGCGTAGAGATGCTGAGGTACACTGCTTAATTATGAAAACACGGTGCCGAAGCGATGGAGGGAATAGTTTAGCAGTCTCTTGAAGGAAAAGAGGAAACCACCATTGTTTGAACCTGTGCAAGATATCCCGGAAGGAGACCTCGACCTCGAGCTACCAAACTATGAGGAGGTTCAATTTATATCAAGTGTAATGGCTGGAAGCAAAAATGACGAAACTTCATTCTCACCTGAGTCACTCTTCCCCATGACTACTTGATGCTAATTATGGAAAAAACTGGGTGACGACCCGGTGATTTCATTTCTTGAGCAGTTTAGTTTTTCTTTGTGTCTTTTTATTCATGTTGCTGTTAATATTGCCCTTTGAGGAATCACCCGCATTTCAGGAATAAAATTAAATGCTTATTTTGAGTTTTGTGGTTATAATTTTTTTTTTAACTTGTATTTGTAGACCACAAGTGAGTCACCCGCGATCCCATGTGGCCTCGGTGAGATATCTTCGGCCTCTGTTATTTTTCAATTAATTGATATTTAATTATTTGTTACGAAAATTTGAAAATTAATAAGATCAAGTTGAATTAATGTTTGTGGATGTTATTAACTTATCAATAAAAATGGTAAAAGTACAATCTTAAAAATTATTGCGGCCTTCATTATCACTGCTTGGCCTTCTTAATGCGGCCACTAATTATAAGTTTCCCCGCTTATGGTATAGACTGAACTGTTCACTAATATTCGGCTTTGTAGCTTTGTTAATTTTCGTTTCTAAATCCTAAAGATTTTATGCAGACACACATATACACGCGCCTGTCGCAATGTGTCTCGAACCAAACCCAAATTTTCCCAGAAAATCAATCTATTTTAAGATTTTTTTTAAACAACGCTCGTTCTGCTACGATCACAAATAAATATCGTAAATTTGGTATCAAAATTTGCAATGCAAGTTGCAGATACGTTTTTGCGAGGCGTAGTTTAGAAACAGTGACTGAATCAAGGACAAAAACATGAATGGTAACCTGGCAAGTGCCATGGGTCTCGGACTGGCTTGAAGGAACGTACACCAATTACGACAACCGACCAGGATGTAGTCAAATAGAACCGATATATACACTGACAGGCAAAAAAATCCACCTTCTTGATTTTTTCATGTTTTCATCTAAAAATATTTCTATTTGCATATAATACATGGTATTTGTAGATAATACTTTGTATTATATTGATGGAATTTTATAGTATTTTTTACCTTTAATAATCAAAATGTGATTGGGTAAGAAAGATTAGAGAAAACAAAATTGAAAACGAACCATTATTATTTTAAAAGAAATTAATTACAACAACGTTTAGTAGCGCGTGCTTCCTCCTTTTGCCTTCACTACTTCTTGAAGACGCCTCGGCATACTTTCCACCAGTCGGGAAATGTCCCTTTGCTGGAGGATAGCCCATTCCTCCCGAAAAGCCCTTTCAAGGTCCTGCACTGTATCAGGAAGTGTTGCACACGCTCTTATTCGTCTTCCGAGGTTATCCCATAAATGCACAATGGGGTTCAAATCTGGAGAACGTGCTGGCCAGACTAAAACCTCAATATTGTCTGCACTATGCGGGCGACTTGTGGGCGTGCATTATCCTGCATTAGAATAGAACGATCGCCGATTTCGTTGAGGATAGGCAACACATGAGGTTCCAAAATCTCATCTACATAGCGAATGGCCGTCAAAGACCCTACACGAACAACAACCAATTCTGTGCGGCGTTCCATTGAAATCCCAGCCCACACCATTAAGGAACCACGTTGGAAAGGTTGGCTCTGGGAAAAATTACAGGCTGCATA